ATACTAGATAAGCCCTAAAGTAATGGCAAGGTCTTGGTCCTACGATTATACGAGTATGTCAGTGGGCAAAGGTCGATAGTTTTGTTTGATTTAGTTTTACGGCTGGATTTTTTCCGTCTAACATTGTGCCGTTTAGAGGTTAATTTTGACATACAAAGCAATAACAAATAGATATACACCACGTTGAAATTTAATTTTATAGATAAGGAATATCGTTCATGTGCGATAGCAATCTAAGGCAGAACCAGTTTTACGAAGCGTTTTATGATTTTAGTTATCAACCTTGTGTAGTTTGCTATCGTTGCCTGACTTCGAAACAGGAATTACAAAAAAGTAGTCATAAGCCGTTTATTGTTAGCTGTTGCACAATACTTTCAACGGGTAAAATGACCACAACTGCTCCGGGTAGTAAGAAGCATAACTCTCGGCACCTTAATGAAAATCTCCCAAGTGTAGTTAAATTAGAGGCAAAACGATGTGGGCAACTTTTATCCGAGTCTTAGGATCCCGTGGGAGAAGTAGCAGATAAAGCCTAACAAAAATCATTTTAAAAACAACATCTATTTTGAAAACACAGCAAACCTTGGTGCAACGGAAAAACACCCAAAAACAAAACAAGCGCGAAGGCCAATCGCATAGTCACAACATTGCCAAATAAAACTTTACAATGTAAAATTCAAATAGATTTTAAAATAAAGTTTCCTCGTGTCCTTGCTGAGTACACGAATTTGTGCTACGAAATGATTTGGGAACCTCGAATTGGATGGTAATAGAGGAAGAGATGAGCAGCAAAAACTTTACGGCGGTTTCAATCATTAAGCCATTTGTGCATGTGCAACCTTGACTAAGCAAGAACATAAGACAATTCAAGTTGAAAAATAATCGAAATAAATCATAGACATGATTGTGTAGACACACAATAGTTTGATTTACAGCAGTGTCGAGGCGTGAAAATTTTCTTTAGTAATCCAGAGACAAAAATTACACTTACCTTAACAAAAACCGTAATTATAAGGTTTAAATTTATCGGGTTATCGGCGACCATTTTTGCCAATGCCTTACAGCGAACCTTTGTGAATGTGTGCGTGTATTTTGAATTGAACGCGTAGGTTTTGAATTTCGAATTGATGGCCTTACTTGGATCCGTTGTTGTGATTGGCTGAGATCAATTGGTTACTATTAGGTGTATAATTAAATATTTAGTCATTTTGAACATTAAATTACATAAGTTAGTTTGTGACGAGGTGTACTCGTTGTTTATTGCAGTCATTTGATAATACAAGAATATTTAAGGCAAACCGGTGGGAATCGTCTTATTCGAACGCCTCACCACTGGTTTACAGCTAAAACTGTAACGCTTTGAAGATAATTTAAAAACAACAAAAAAGATATAAAAGTACTATATTTATAAAGTAATTATATTAACAACATTATCCTCGATAACAAAACAAGTAATAATAAAAGCTAATTATAGAGATCTAATCTCACGATGAAAACAATGCTACAGAAAGGACGAATCTAAAGTTGCTTGTTTACAATTACACGGTATTTACACTGACTCTGGACAATATTATTTTTTTCAAGATCACCATTCAAGGAAAATGTACTTGAAACAAATAAACATCTTTGATATTTCCAAAAGATGCAATAAACGCCTCGTCAATATGTTGGCGCGTTATATAGCGACGTGATTTAAAAATAGATCAAGTTGATGTAACAGTAGTGCATTGATATCATAATGACAAACACATAATCAGTAACCCGCATCAAAACAGTATCGCTGCAGTTGGCGCAGTTCAATGTGCAGTAGGAAGCGTGCGCGGGCGCCGGCCATGACAGCCGCGAGGTCGCAACCGTGACGCAGTGACGTCGTTTGCGTAATGCTTAGAGCGGTTTATGCATTTAGTATGAAAATTAAATATTGATATTATTGTTGTACTTAACTCTATTCTTTCCTACAATAAACGTACGGTCCCAAGGTACTTGTAGAGTCGAAGTAACTGTCCAACATTCAAAGAACGCTTTCCAGTAATCACTTTTAGTCTTGGCTAAAGAAAGTAGTCTTGCGGATTTTGAGTTGATAAGTTCACCAACGAGTTGACAACGGTGGCCGAAGTAGGAGAAAAGATGAAAATGGTTTAATTTGAATTAGTACAGCATTACAATCTTAACTTGCAAAATGACACGTCAAATTATCAACTGCAGTTAATAAAACTCAAGTCGATAAAACTAATGCCATAAATTCAAACCTTCGATTGATAAAGCGCTGTACCTAAGTTGAACCATAATAAATATAACAAATATTTATAATTTGTTAAGTCGCGTCTTCAGATATAAAGAATAGGGATGCCACTTCTCCTAAATTGTTAAAATTTTTAAATAACTTACGTAACAATTTTGTAATGGTTGTGTTCGGAATGTAGTTTAGTTTGCAAGTCGAACTGACGCAGCAAAAATTGGCATTGTTACAAGACTGTGTATACTCAGATATTATTAGTGACTTCGCCATTAAAAGCGCACGCTATTATTTTTCACATACATACTTTTAGAACGTAGTAGTTAAATTAAGCCAAGCCCTGATTTGAATAAAAATAAATAAAAAGAGTTTATTCTTCAACACAACAACGAGAATAAAAACTTACAACAGTGCCTTAAAATCTAAATCAGTGTTGAAGAAACGGTAACAGCCTCAGCAATTTGCATTTTATTACATATATAGAATAGAACAGGCAGAGAATGAAGTTTTAATTGTATATTATTAACTATAATAATATTTTTAATTATTATATTAATTTAGCAGAACCTACCTTACCTTCAACCAATACAACCAATACTTCAAACAATGTAGTTGAACCCTAGTTACAGTTTGAAAAGCGTAAAACGCAACAGTTTAAAGTATTGAGGATAATTATTAAGATGTTAATATCGTAGTTAACCACTGCTGCATACCGCTATCCCATTGAGAGGGACTTGGTAAGTGCACTGGCAAATAAATCGCATGACGCGTGACCGCGTAAGTGCAGCGAGGTCGGTGTGACATTCTGCCTTTGATTCAACGTGATTATCTTCAAGTGTGATTTATTTTGGTGGGCGTTCGTATTTCTGTGTCCATATCCACTAGAACTGCATACATTTGGCGACCTTGGTGGCCGAAAGGTTTGCACTGAGCTCAGAGGAGGTCCCGATTGGACCAGTTTGGGAAATGAGCCAGGTAATTGGTGAGGTTGTCTGGCACTTTATTATTATACAATACACCTGTAAAGTAACGAAGGCAGGCAAGGACTATAGACCATCACTTGTTACAATCCTATCTCTTTTGCTTCCTCCAGTACTATCAGGAACATTACATTAGCTTCAGCATTGCCTAATGTCACGAATGTATGTAGTTTACTACAATGTCCCGAAAATGGCAAAGTCAAGTTTTACATATGAATTCGAACCGTTGCCCTTTCAATTTAAAATCAGTCGTCCTCCTAGTGTGCTCTAGTCGTTATTATTGGGATATAATACAAATAAGAAATTTTTAACAAAACATTGCTTCGTCAAAAAAAGCAAAAAACTTTACAGCTTTTGAAATAAGAACTGTAAACAAATAAATATCAAAATATTTGTATGGCCGAACACGAATATTTGTTCAATTTTGACCATTTTATATAAAGGAAATCATACAAAAGTACACAACAGGTTCTCGTAGGGCGCATGATTCACTCATCCTATGATTCAAAGATTTTATTTCTGTACTACGCTTCCGTATTGCAAAGTAAATGTTTTCTTATTGTATACAATGGCAACGTTCTAGATGGCGGAAAATTAAGCACTTTTGGAGCTAAAGATACGGATAAAAACCGTGCCCCTGCAGAAAATAATGTGCGAATATCGTACGACTTATAGATTTAGATTACTGGTTCCGGTTTTGCACGGTAAGTTTTAAGGGTGCTGGTGAAATTGCAGGCACATGGGAATTTCAACTTATGTCTCAGAGTGGTGGGCGCGGAGGCAGTGCACCTCAGATCATTGCGATTTAAAGCTCTTAGTGGCACTGCAACTGGTAATAAATCGCCATATGCAAATGACCATAAGGTCAGGCGTGTCGTTTGCTATCAGGCGCACAACTTGTTCGTCTCATCATCATCTAACTATCATAAAATAGAATTTACGGTTCGGTTTCTTCAAAAAATTTTACACATCAGAGTACCGCCATGCGTATTTCGAGTTCTTCTCATGCCTTGTTCTTCCCATTCGAAGTTTCAAGTTGCGAACCCGCAGCCCGCATCGTTTTGCATACATTAACTGTAAACGTATGTGCCCACTCCGCGCACGCGCAGACGGCGATGGTAGTCTAATTGAAACCTGCGTAGGCAGATGCATTATACCACTAATAACTATGTATGAGCCGCTTTATTTGCCCGCAATCATACAGAAAATTATTTTATTATCTCTAATAGATTGTTTTCTTCTACGAGTTATTGTCCTGTTTGTTATTTCACAAAGGCCTTGTGTTAACTTATTTATCTATTTTTTATTTATCAGATACGAAGTCATTTTGCCTGGTTATTTTCACATACCTACTTAATTTATCGATAATTCTTTGTAGAACAATTTAAATACTTGTTAATCAATGAAACAAAAGTGGTTTAATTGTCTAGTTTGTAATTAAGAGAGGTCTGTGCGCGTCGGCGGTCGGAAACCGACTACGTACCGCACGTTGCTGGCGGCGCATTGCGTGCGCAGCGACCGTCGACAGGCGGAAGCAGCGCGCGCGCACCCGCGCAAGGCTACGCTCATGACCTCGCAGCGTCTTTGTCTAGCACTATCTAGAGTCTGTTTACCGCGAGGCCGAATGCATCATACCTTTGCCTGCTGCGTTGGTACTTGAACAAATCGTTGTAGTTTAACTACAGCTATCTTTATATCTTTAATTAGGGTAAGCACTGTATAGTCTACTATTTAAATATTAATTACTGATAAAGGTTATTCAAACGGGCGTTTGTTTGTTCCAGGCATGGCGCGATACAAATGACTACACTTGCATGAGAACCCGAGCCTGGCTGTGAGCTGTAAGTACTGTACCATTACTGACGATTTCTCAGAAGCAACTACCGCGGTTGGCGACAAATTACTGAAAGCGACAGTAATAATTAGAATGATGACAAGCTTTAAAGCGACCGCCAATAACTGCGCTGGTCTGTTTGTATTGGAACTTGTGTATTGTTAGCAAATCGTAAAAGGCCTTTTACTATTTACAACTCATCGGCAAGCGCTATAAAGATTACACCGTATTTACTGTAGCGGTAAACGGTTCCGATGCCACATTCCGACAATAGAGACTCACTTATGTCCAGTTTTACATTATTATCAATTTATAATAAATAATATATACATATAAGAAACATCACCAACGTTGCTCTGATTCCAAAGTAAGTAACTAAAGCATTTGTGTTATGGAAATCGGAAATAACGACGGTACCACAAACACCAAGACCAAAGACAATATGGAAAAGTTAGTTTTCTACTATCCTATTTCAATTGCAATCGAAATTATTTGGAAGGATTCGAAATTATGAAGATATTTATTTTCTTTGATAATTATTATCCGTTATTTATCCGATAATTATCCATGCTTATTCATAGTTTTGTCTCTTTAATTTTTGACTAAAAAACTAAATAGATACCTACGAGGCTAAAATCTTTGGTAAAACGATTTTTTTTTTGTAATATCAAGTGACGGGACGAACAATTCGTGCACCTGACAGTGACTCACGAGTTTTGAATCGCAAAGATCTTAGGAACACTGCTACTGCGCCCGTCACCCTGAGACATAAGTTGACAAGTCCTGTGTACCTGTAATTTCACCGCCGGCAAAAATAGGTAAGGCGTTAACCGCTCTGTTACTAGGCTACCTAACATAGATACTATTAAACTTTTTTCTAGCAGTGCGTCTCTGGACAAATAATGGTAGAAGAAAAGAGCATCCTCTAGAGATTCTTCCTCATTCTTCTCAGGGTAATCTGCCTTACGGATGAGTAGTAGAGTTTAATCATCATTACCGTTTGCAAGTAATGCCTTGAAAATGCTAAAGTATCAACACACGCAGAGTAGTAAGTGGACTTAAAAGGCGGAAACCTTTCGGTGAGGCCTCTCGCTGCGGCTGCATCGTTGACAAGTGCTCCGTTCGAATGTAGCTGGCCTTGCTTCATTTCGGGGCGAACCAGTACCCGCACGTACCGAGTACTTATTTGGTGTGCTACCGATATTTTTTTCTTTCACGATACACGTTTTGAGTTATCTGTACTTGAAATGGCACTATTTAGTAGCAGTAGAGATCCTTGTGAGAGTCCGTACAGGGCAGTATTGCCACCTTACCTAGTTCTACCGCCAAACAGTAATGTGAGCATTATTGCGTTCCGGTTTAGAAAGGTAAGGGTACTGGTTAAATTACAGGCACATGGGACTTGTCAACTTATATCTCAGGGTGTCAGGCGCAGTGGCAGTGCCCCTCAGGTCTTTGTGATTTAAAGCTCTGAGGGGCACTGCAACTTCGTCCAATCACTTAGTATTATAAAAAAACCAGGGAAACCTTGTATAGCGGGTACCATGGACACAAATATAGACAACCACAATCTACACCCAAACTTACGAAATAAATAAATGTAGGTCATAGAAATATTTCTCCCGACTCGTGAATCAAATCTGGACCTCGGCCACGGAGGCAGTTAAGGCTACCACCGCGCCGCTTTTTTATTTAAAATTTCTTTTATTGCAAGAAAAATATACTCGTATTTATATTGTACACTTGTTCATTCTTATATGACGTTGCTACGGAGTACACGACGCGTTACTATGGAGTCTTTCTTTTCAAAAATCTGCCATCATACAACAGGTTAAGAAGTATTTCGTATCAATAACGGACTGTACAAACATCGTGTTACCGAAAACCGATCACGACTATAACATATGGCGAGCCGCAAGGGCTAGGACGAACAAGCCACGATAACTTCCTGGATTAGTTCACTCGTCCACTTAAAGCAGTTTACCAGTGGTAACCACACGTTTTCGGCTCACTCACCTTGAATTAAAGCTCCATATCGATTATTTTAGTGACCTTCTACGACTGCAGGTTCCAGATTTTAATTATACAAAAACATCTAAGTGCCGTTTACCGTGCCTAGGATTTAAAAACACAGTATCTAGATCGGTCCTAAAAATTTCTCCATAATTATTAAAACTTCAATACATAAACGGATTCTGTACCTTTGATAATTCGACCGTGTATATACTTGCACGCGCGCACACACGAGTAATAAACACGGCCATGAGATAACTGACATCACAGCAAGGTTCCGATTTGTAACGTCAGCAAAACAACTCACTATTCTTTTTTTAAATGACGAACAGAGATTTTATCTGGGTTAGGATTACTGTCCGCAGTAATAATTTATATTAGTATTTGAAATCGTCGTAAAAAAAGTCGAAATTGAAAATGTATAACAACAAATTGCATATTAAAATTTTCGCATTTCAAAATTCCGGAATTCTTTAATTAGTCTATCACTATAAATAATATCATTAAAATAAGTTACGGTTTAATTAGTCAGAAAACTGTCAAAAGTAACTGTCATGTGTCATCAGCTAATAGTGTGATGGAAAGTATTTCACCGTAGAAATTGCCTCTTTATGCCAATTCCTATGCAATATGGCAGATTATGTCAATCAACTTTTTTATGAACCGACATTTATCACACGCTGAAGTGTCGATAAATATGCAATAATTGCTCATTTGCATACCGCAGTCATTTGCCACAATTTATAAATCTCAAATAAGTTAATTAGTTGTCAATGTTACCAACATTAATATGCAGAAAGTTTGTTGATTGCCTGTATTCAAAAAGTCTGCCAATTTGTTGCCGTCTTCAAGTCTTTGAGATAATTGATAATAAAATTAATTAATTCTAGACAACTCCTACAAATTGATTCTCGTTCAAAATTGTGCACCGGATGTTTGTGAAATAGTAAGTGGACGTGACATGAATAGTTTCCTTATTTTAAAACTTTTATTTTATGTTTTTTTTACAGCGAATTTACAGCGAACGCCAAAAAAACACTTTAATAGCTTGAGTGCACTTGTGAAATAAAACAATAGCGTTACTACATGACACAATCGAACCGATGGCCGTTCAGGCACATGTCCGTGTAAAAAAGCTTTCATCCCCTTCCATCGCCATTGTCAGCGTTGCCATTTTTATTATTTTTATTAATCAAAGTCAAGTCTCAAACTATTTTCTATAAAATGGCAATCGTCATGTAGTGGCAAGCGTTTAACAAGGTATATATAAATAGCCGATGCCAACACTTACATGCTAATTATAATTACGTCTTACGTCGTACGTAATGCTTTGTATAACAAGTACTTAAGTAAGTATTAGCAGTTTCGAGATTGCGACGTCTGACGACGACGACGACTGAGTACCTAGTTGCTATCTTTATAAGTCGATACTCATTGACTTACAAATAAATGGACGACGGGTCTAATACAAAAACCACGAAAAAAATGTCCCAAGTCAACCTATTCGAAATTTAAATTGTTATGTCATCGCAGTTTCGCGCTGTCCGTAGAACAAATGAAGACTAAAGCGGAGTTTGGCGCTCTGTATACGATTTTAGCGCCTTACAAGTGCGGACACTTTTTAGCGCGGACCCGACGTCCATATAATTGTAAGTCAATGTCAATACTACTATATATCTATTGGACACTACTGTTTTCTTATAAAATTTCGAGGTAAGTTTGTGTTTTTTTTTTATAGTCAAAATTTTTAGGAATCGTGTTTCCACACCGTGTACTAATCAGTGTATATTTTCAATTGTGCTATGCGTTCTTTCCAAAGTTATTAATTCAATACTTTCACTGTTATGCGGATTCAACCAACGCCATTTGAGGTTGTATAGACTCTTAAGAGGGAGCATGCCAAAAAAGTTTTGACGTTGGCTCCACCCAAATTTGTGAAACAAATATATGCCTGAAGTTCGCGTGACATGCGACAGGAGATGTTGAATTTTGCGCATTAAAAGTACCAAATTCGTTTTAGCAGAATAACTCTAAACTAAAGGGATTTAAAAAATCCGTAGTGACAGTTCTCCATCATGCTTTTTGTTATTATTTTTGGTTATTATACAACTTCTGCGTACTTGGATGACAAAAATCCGTGGTAGTAACCCGTTTAGCTCATGGAGGTAGTCTCGATCTCTGATGTTTCAAATAATAAAAAAAAATATTGTAAATGTTATTTACAAAGAGCAACCCCTAGAGTTTCTTGCTCATTCTTCTCAGGGGAATCTGCCTTACGAATGAGCGGTAGAGTTTAACCATTGTGACGATTTCAAGTGTAATAATGCTTACCTATGAAATAAAGATTATTTTGAATTTTGAATTTTTGAATTTGAATGCATAAATATAATTAATTATCTAATTTTTGCCCTAATAACCTGTAGCATTTCGAGGATGAATCGAAATGTGAATGTGAATATTAGAGGTCATTTCGTGATTTTGATCTATCGAGGAAACTTTATTGTTTTATGTTTCTGATTAATGTCTATGCTTGAATATATCGTGTAGTTACTCATACAATATTTTATTTTTAACATTAAAGTGGATATACCCCTCTAAAATCAAATCGAAGATTAGGAATTTTTCCTCTGCTCCCTCTTAATAAGAATGCTTATTATTTTCTTGCTGTCGGTCCTCAGACGAACAACCCGTATGTGACATATCTACTGAAGCAATGACAATGTTTATACCGGACGGCCTTGGAGTAATTTTAGCTTTCCATTTAGTTTCGTTGTAATCACATTGCAAAAAAAAATATTGTTGGAAGATGAAAACTCTTTAATTAACAGTTTCGTTTTGTTGCTATTGTTTTTTATGATTAAATTGACAATTTGGCTCTCTACGTGTCGGTCCATTTTGATTGGATTTTTGATTGGACTTGGACTGTTTATCCATCCTCTAAGGTCTATTGTTATAACATTTTTGCGTTTTTGATATAACAAATATTTGAAAAAT